TTGACCTCCCGCCGGTGACTGATGTGTTTCTTCATGCTTTTTCTGACTTGGTTCTTCTGCGTGGGCGGTTGTTGGTTCTTCTATGGCATGGTGAGGTTCGTTGGTGATTGCTAACACCGGGCGATTCACTTGATTTTCCAACCAGTCGTCCACTCTTGCATTGACTTCTGAGTAGAGGGAGGCGTCATCTTCTTCTTCCTCCTCCTCTTCTGAGTCTTCCCTTTCCAAGGCAGCAAGACGTGCTGCGGCTAATTCCACTTGAAGGCGTAGCAAATCTTCTTTCGCCTTTGCAAGCTTGAGCTGCTTCGTTCTACTGTGTGTAGATCCCCCCCCTCCTCCCTTCTTGCTGGGCAGGCGGGGTTCCTGTAATGCGGTTTGCTTCGATGGACCGGCGGTGCTTCTTATGGCTCGCTTCACTGTATCAGTTTCTGTTTCTCGGGGAGTTGCTCTGGTGACAGTAGCGGGCGGCTTCATCAGCTGTTTGGCCTTCGCACCCGCAGTTAGCGTTGTCGCCGCGGATGGAGTTACGGAAGGAGCGACGGTGCTGGCGGGGTGCGCGGCGGGGGTGGCGGTTGCGGCTGAGGTGGCGGCGGACGAAGTGGTTGCTGCGGTGGCGGAAGTCACGGTGGATGGATCAGTTGCCGCGGAGGTGTCTGTATACTCCGAAGTCTCCGTGGCGGTCGTCCCTGTAGCTGTCGATTCCGTACTGGCTTCCGCACTGTTGGTACCGGTCGCCGAGGTGGTAGCCTTGGACGACGGCGGCTTGCTGCCCCTTCCCTCGGAACGCGTAACGGCCATACTGTTAGCTGACTTTTTCATCGAATAACGATTTCCGAGAAGTCTTCTTAACTCGATGTAGCACTATTTGAAGTCTTCAGGTAATTATTTTCCACAATATTCGGCTGGCGAAGGACCATTAAATGTGCCCTACAAGCACATTTGTGTGCTGGGTTGGTGGAGAATAAAACACTGACACTTTTTTCTTTCTTCTATATTTGATGTTTTCCTTGAGAGAGCTGGCCGCCGACTGTGTCGAACGACGAAAATCGCCCCTCTTTTATACTACCTCGGCCGGGTCGAGTAGTACGGCGTGCGTACCGTGTGACGGCGTCGACCAATCAGCGCGAGGCGCTACAGAGCTGAGTTACATTGTTTACCTTAAGCTAGTTATATTATTATACAAAGTGAATTACTAATTCTAATACATGAATATAAGCTTTACACTATTAGTTTTCTTAATATAAAATGCTTATATCTTCTCTTATGTGTAACTTTAAACTATAATCACAACATAAACGCTTATATCCTATTTTATGTGTAACTTTAAACTATAGTCTTTATTAACACAATATAAACGCTTATATCCTATTTAAGTACAAACTCTAAACTACTATAATATAAAAATGTTCGTCTTATTTAGGTATAAGTCTATTTATTTTCACTTGTGCCGCACACACACAACGGGAGGAAAAAATGACATCACAACCCGCGTTCTTACCACCAATACCACAATAATACGTGGGTTGCAATGTTATACTTTCCTCCCTCGATGCGTAATAATATACTATTTCACCCTTAGAGATGGGATATTTTCAACAAATTTATGTAGTACCAATAACTGAAGTGTAAATACTTTTAAATTTAAAAAAATGAAATCGGTTCAGCAGTTTTCGAGAAACAACATACAGAACCTTCTTTTGCACTCAATTAAAAATAACGATTTCCTTTTTGTCTAATTTTGTTGAACAACATTAATTTTTCATGTAGGTCAAATGCATCGCAGTGTCAAACTTGACCCCGTTTTCTTTCTCTCTACACACTTATAGTAATTTTCTAAAACAATGGGATTATCTTAGAAATTTTAAACTATAAAATTACGCTTCAAATTTTGCAGTTGTTTTTCAATATATCGACAATTATTATAGCGGAAAGCTTTTAATATGGCATTTCATTAAAATATGGCCGACGTGGTTATAACATAATATGGTGATTAATGCATTTTTGTTACGTAGAAAAGTAGAACAGGGACGTCCAATTCATGAATTCAAGGCCTAGGACGTAGCTAAACAAATTAATTTTAAAATATTGAGCATAAACTTTTTAAAAAATTGGTAATTTAATTGTGTTTTTTGTTTTAAGGAATTAACATTAGCTGATGTAGTGTAATTTTGAGCTTTGAACAGAATTCCGGGAATGTAATATTGCGTATATTATGTGTCAACATATAGATACGCTCTAAAACAAATACCAAATACAACTCTGAATTTGTTGTGATATTCTGTGACTGCTTTGCTCATGTTGCATAAGAGATATAATATGTTCCAATTCTTAAATACATCAATGAAGTCAGTCTACTTAAACCTCAATAACTGATCATAATTTTAACTATATAATAAAGTTTTATTGATTAACTCTAGTAATAGATCAGCGTTTTGAATTATGTTTATTCCTAATTAAAATATCGACAGATTCCTGAAAGATCTCTCAACTCACGACCCCATTGGCCTGTATCTTGATAAAGGAATTGCAGGAAATTTTATATTACACATTAATTGCATACAAAGGCGCGTCCTCTTTACAGTGTGCGCGGCCTCAACCGAGTTTTGTAGATGCTTTCTCGATCGGCGAACCGGGTCGCGTTCTCCATGCCGACGCTGCTATTGAGCTGACTGACTGCTACGCACCACGTCTTGCCGCATATTAACACACATAGGCAAAAATCATACTAATAATAAAATGGCAATGGTATATGTTTCTGCAATATATTATGATTATATAAACGAGCAATTTACACATTCTTGAAAGACTATAATGGCGTTGTTGTTACTTAACTAACAAACATTACTAAGTCCCATTCTAATATATAGTAAAAAGCGGAAGAAATAATTTATATTATTTTCTTCAAGCAGTCATACAGAAGTCGTTGATAAAACCAGTATGACGTCTTAGCACGCTCACATTCACACAGCGCACGCCCACATACTCGTATACGTCAAGAGATGTACAGTTAACTCTTAACGTGAGCTAGGCATTTGTATGTTGTTCGCTATTTGTATGGAATTTTGTCCTTCTATTACTAATATTATACAGTGCATTAAGGATTTAATTAGTATTATTATATTGTGAAGTGTCACATTATAATGTCTTATATTATGAAATGGTTATGTATCTTGGTGAAGGATATGAAGGATCTTGATGAAGTGATACGATCGAAATACTAACTAACATATATAAAAAGTCTAGTATCATCAATATATTCAGTAATAAACACAAATATAAATACCCATAAGAATCTATAAGAAACGTATGTTATTTGTAATTTAAATATTATCTTAACTGTAAAGTATAAATATTTCCTATAATTCTCGAGTGAAATAGAAATGTCTTGTTTTTTATTTAATTGATGTTATTGCTTTAAGGAAGTAATATTATACTAAAAGTGGTTATAATATCACCGTCGAAATAGTAGACAAATATTAAAGAAACTGACGATAACGACCCTGGCAATTTTTTGGGGAAGTAGGTTTATACAATTCATATTAAATTGAAGTCAAAGCCCTGCCAATCGTTTCAGTAATTTTGTCAATCAGAGTGTAATAAAAGTTGAAGGAGATGCTAATGGCGTATTCAATACTGATTTGACTCGATGAACAACTAATCGTAAGAAAAATAATTACAATTAGAAGGCATAATACCAAGTTAAAGTTACAGCCTATATATATGTACGTCCCACTCCTGGACACTGCCTCCTTTCACTTCTAAAAGGGTTTTAAAGGCAAGGAAGTGTTCGCCGCGCTGCACTAAAGCGTATTGGCGGACTTTACATTCTTCGAATTTTTTTTTTATTTCTCAGACGTGCAGGTTTCCTCACGTTATTTTCCTTCACCACCGAGCACGTGGTAAATCAGCACATAAAATTGCACCCGGGTTGCTCGCGTACTGTGAAATGGATCGCCTCATTGGTGTTGCTATAGTTGACACGCTCTTGGCAAACGCGTTGTCAACCGCAGTTTTTTTTTATTTTCTTTTTCTTTTTCCTTTTTTTTTTGAATTGTTAACAGGAAGGATACTGCTGCCCATCATCTGTTTCAAGTTCCGTCTGTCGCCTGTAACGATATCCACGAGACGATATGGGGTAGTGGATATTTTTACACCGCCACTACGGGGTTTAGCCCCTGAGCTAGCACGGCTGTTATCTGAACTTGGCAAGTTAATGTTTGCTAATACCAATTTAGCCAACATTAATTTGTCACGTTTAGATTATCTGTTTGCATATTCATGGTAAACAAATGAGAAACGCATTAGAGCCGAGGTGGCACGGTTGCTTGTTTAAGTTATAAATCAATGTGTCCCAGTTAGATTGATGTCTATGCGGCATTACATTGCTATCACTGTCTGATGTCTGTGCTTTCCAATAGTCACATTGCCAAATATTGTGTTGGTTCGTTGCGTGCTCAAAGTTGCGGATTGCATGTACATAGCGTTTGAGGTGAGCTCCGCGATCGCGTACGGCGACACGTCACGTATGACTGGAGAGTTGCATAATAAACCTGTAAACTGTCTCTTTGTGTGTTTAAAACATATTTATTAAGTGTGGACGTAATAATTTCAAAGTATTGTTGGTGACAGCTTATGCCTTAACATACAATAAGCAACAACGTACAATACGCTAGGTACACCTTTAATATCCCTATTTTTTACATAAGTGCACTCACGCACTTCAACGTTGGTCAAATAACAAGCTTTTTAAGAGTAATTCAGAAAACATATAGGAACATGGATATTGGTTGAAAGTTTTATTACTTCAGGTGGCAGTGAGCTCAGTTTGTGAATTGGCGGTTTGTCCTCGACCTCGCTCGGTTTGCTTCCGCCTCAGTTTATCCTCGTTCGGCAGTGCCCATGATAATCTTTTTGCTACGAGCCTTGATCCTAGACCTTCCTGCCAACATTATGTTCGTACATTGATTTATCACTATTATATTAAAGTATTTCCTTTCTAGGTATAATCAGCAAAGCGCGCGCTCGCCTTGGCTAAAGTACGTAATTTGAACTATTTTTAGGTTTAATTCTATTACAAATTCTAAAGTGCTAGCTTAGAGCAATTGTACTTTGAGGCGTTTAATTTATTATTTGTATCAGTAAATATTTAGTTAATAATGTAAGTAATGTTAATTAATAGTTTGTGGTGTAATAGAAGGCGTACCATACACACCACTAGCTCCCAATGAAGGTCATGACGTAATAATGGTAGTCTTCTTGGATCTAAGGATCTTGTAATTCAATTGTATAGCTTCAGTTAGTGTAGCACTACTTCAATGCTGTAATAGAACTGAATTTAATTATCCCTTTATGTGAATTTTGCATTGGAAAATATTTTTGCGATAGTATTTTAAAGTATTATTATCTATTATAATATAATATTCATTTTCAAATGAAAAAATTGAATATTTTTGTTTTTATAACGTATTTTCTTTATTAAATTATTACCACTACCTATCGTAACTCAACAGTGAAATAATAATAATTTTTTGACTGAAGACCTTTTGTTGCCTATCTCGTTATTTTCGTTTTAGACGTTGATGTGATAGAGATCTGCTGACTTCAAGAAATCGCCACCGATATATAGAACACGAGTTATATTAGCCGGAAACACATTGCGTGGCGATTGGTAACTTTTAATTTAGTTTGTTGCAACCGTTATAAATACATAAATATTGAGTAGAAAATTTTGTATATTGCAAATAATAAATTTTAAATAGATTTCATAATTGATATGATGTTCTACAGAGTTATTATTAAACAAATATGTTAATTCAGCTCAAGTAAAACTATATGTGAGGTAGATACTTGGCGCATTTACAATTCTTATCTGCGGTAGAGCGATAACCAATACAGTTATCTTTAATCAACTGCCAATAAAAACTTATGCCATCATTTCCTGATGATAATATGACCCTCTTCAGAGATATTATTAAACAAATATATTAATTCAGCTCAAGTAAAACTATATGTGAGGTAGATACTTGGCGCATTTACAATCCTTATCTGCGGTAGAGCGATAACCAATACAGTTATCTTTAATCAACTGCCAATCAAAACTTGTGCCATCATTTCCTGATGATAATATGACCCTCTACAGAGATATTATTAAAAAAATATATTAGTTCAGCTCAAATAAAACTATATGTGAGGTAGATACTTGGCGCATTTACAATCCTTATCTGCGGTAGAGCGATAACCAATACAGTTATCTTTAATCAACTGCCAATCAAAACTTATGCCATCATTTCCTGATGATAATATGACCCTCTACAGAGATATTATTAAAAAAATATATTAATTCAGCTCAAGTAAAACTATATGTGAGGTAGATACTTGGCGCATTTACAATCCTTATCTGCGGTAGAGCGATAACCAATACAGTTATCTTTAATCAACTGCCAATCAAAACTTATGCCATCATTTCCTGATGATAATATAAATGGTTAACTTCACGATTTCCTCGTTCAGTTAAACAATATACATTTTTTTTATAAACGTGAAGGTTATAAACGAACACAATCCACCTGAAAGTGAGTAAATACGGCGACCCTACTTCTTTCCTCGATTAAGAATCAAAATGCAAATGCGTTTCACCCCTGAAGTCTTATGTAGTATGCCTCGTAGCCAGTAAAAAGGGTATTCGTTCCTTTACACTCAAATGTTTAATTCTGGAGTTCTATAAAAGCGTTGACCTTTCTGGGCAAGGCCAATCATTTGTACTGCAAATATAACGTAGGTTGCCAGATGGTCGGGATTTGTATGTATTCTTCCAACATTTTTAATGATTTCCAGACTCCCGGCAAAACTCAAAATCTCCAGACAAACAGCTTTTCGGAAAGTTAAACTATGGCCCTTGATTTAATAAAAGCTGAGTTAGTAATTAGACAGAACTTTGAAGAAATTTTTTGAATTTTAAAGTATTTTCTGAATACTACTAAAGGATCGAAATTGGAGGCCTCTAGTATAGACCAATGCCAAATACATGTTGTGACAACCTAAAAGTTAAGTGTAAATAAATTAGTTTTGTTTTTAATGTACTTTTTGTAACCTGTTGTTAAAAAAATAAATATAAATGAATATAAAAAATATAAAAAAATATAAATATAAAAAAAAGAAATATAAGTGCTTCTTTATTACACTGAAAATTAATCATAAGGTTTACTTATTGTTATTGTTATTCATTTAAAAATATTTTTTAACGATGATGGAAATTTCACGAAAGTTAGTTAAAGTTACAGCCTATATACGTCCCACAGCTGGGCAAGGGCCTCCTCTCATTTCTGAGAGCATTTTTCAATGCGTGTTGGCGAACTTTACATATCCTCGATTTTTTAATTTATTTCTCAGAAATGCCGGTTTCCTCAAGATATTTCCCTTCATCGCCGAGCATATGGTAAATCAGCTCTTAAAATGGCAGGGATCGAACCCGTGTTGCTCGCATACTGTGAAATTTACAGCTAGCGCTTAGTCCCTGAGCTACCAGGGCTAGCTTCATTACACACACAAAAATACAATAAATCTGTGTGTGACGGTGTGTTTGTGCTTCCAATAATAAATAATTTTGAGTATCGTCTTGAATGACCTTAAACATCGTGATGTAATAGTCAAACAGTTTATACGCACGTATGACACTAATTACGGAAATGGTTTCGTTGATAAGAAAACCTTAAAGCGGGCTCCACTGATAACTTAAATTTACATTTTGTAAAATTTTATTGTTATAATTTTTTGAAATTGTTTCGTTACTTACTTTCAGTTATGCAATATAAAGGAAGTGCATAATATTTTAAGAGCACGTATTCCCGTCATCAATATTCATGTGTCTACATCTATGTGTAGTAGGTATCTAAAAGTTTTTTTTTAATATAATGAAGTTAAATTAATTTGCTTTAGGTTCGATTTTAAGGTAACTCAGGTCGTTTTTGTACTTATAGTAAAATAATCTGTTTATACAGTTTTCGCATTTATATAACGAAAATTTTATACCTTAATGAATATAATCGTGGTACCTACGTCTGTACGATTTGACCGATTGGGTCATATTTTTTACAATATTATTTGTTTTGTCGAGACGATCGTTCATAGTTATGCTAGGACCCGATAGGTGTCGGCCGTTGTAGTCAATTTATTAACAAATTCTTTTATATGTTTCTGTACCGAAAATGACTCACGATATAATTTTAGTAAATGATAATAATAAACACACAATATTATATATAAATATTTAGTACTATTAGTATTAATAAAGTTGATAAAACTTTTACTTCAAAGGTACGTAGTAAACACTATACGATTTTTTTTTTTGGAAAGGTGGGTTCTTTAGGCACTTCTTACATCTTTTTAGATATATTTGCTTTTTTGATAACTTAGTTACCTGCAAAAAGACATTAAATAATCAATAGCAATTTTCAACCTAAAATAGAAGGCGTATTATATTGTGTCTAAAAATAAATAACTGTTCCTGATCCACGTAAAACCCAATGTTCGATAACGTGTTTGAAACAAGATCTTCTATCTTCTTGCTTAGATAGGTTACCTTAGATGGAAAGAGTAGCCTGTAACACTTGTTTTCACATTAGTACTGGTGTTTATTCTGTGCTAGTTGTTGCAACTTTATGTAAACTTAACTAAATCTGTACAAATAATTCATGGACAGACTATAAAAGTCCATGGTCTCATAGGGAGGGTGCATTTTGCTGCTATAGTTGCCTCCCTTAGAAGGGATTGGCAACATGGCAACCGCAGTTTTCCATTATTATAAGTTGTTACTGCCAATACTGAAATGTTGCTGCCAATCTCCTGTTTCAGTGTCCCCCTGTCGCCTCTTACGACACTCACGGGTCGATATGGAATAGTGGATATTCTTACGCCGCCCCTACACGCTTAGGTTGTGAAATAATATGTGCAATTTTTGTCCGGTAAAAAATACTAAGCTTATTCCTAACTATGTTGTATAACATTGATCCATTGCAAATCTATCCCCGTGCGTTTCATTTTTGTAGTCATTGGACAAAATTATCTTTAATTTTTGATACAATTTTTCCGGTAAACATGTTGTGAATTCCATAATAACAGTAACGGGAACAGCACAGATATAAAGACTTGATTTCTATTTAAACATATCGCGATAAAACAGGCTGTTGTTTTGGAACAGGCCATTTGAACAGTTATTTTAAAGACAGAAACAGGTGGAACAATTTATGAACTCTACTTGGTATAATAGCACACCACTTCTAGCACACAATTGGTGCGAATGCCATGCTAACAATCGCGGTAGGTATGTACGTGACGTATGCTCTGCGGTCACCTTGTGCGTCTCTGCGCATCTCGGACGAATAGAGGTGGCGTGATGTTCAGTTCCGCGTTTGCTCGCGCTTTAAACATCGCTAAATGTTTATTTATGTAATTTAGCCTTGTATTTTACTAACGTTCGCACACAGTTTTTTTTTTAATATTTAGCGGTGATGCAACACACATCGTACCCTATCTTATCTGTTTTTTATGTATTGTATTACTTTTAGATACATAATTTACAGCAGTCACATGTTTTTATTTAAATGTTTCGAACATAAAATCTATATTTGAAAATTTGAGTGATATTAAGAGTTACATACATCAAATTATGTAAATGCAGTATTTATTTAATGTTTTCAAAAAACTGTCCGATGGTAAGGTTGCCTTGCTTTATAAAAAGTACATACTTATACAAAAATTTAAATCATAATTTATTGTAGCGGATTAGGGAGTTATCACATTATTATTTAAATGATTGATAATTCCGCCCTACGGAATCATCTGAGTTTATCAGTTGCAAGAACTTTGAACATATTATCTGAATAGTAATATGTTCACTTAAAATCATTTTGTATAAATCATGTTACACACCGATGTCGTTCCTTGAATGCAAGTCGATTCCTATACTATTGATTTCTTTCGCCGACAACTGCTCGGAGCTTTTCGAAGGTTGACTTTCTTTAACTCGTGCCTTAGCTTC